TCTCGAAAAGATCCCAAGGTCATTGATATAGGGATAGGTCAAACCCTGGAGCCCCACACACCGGCCGCCGGGGGCGGTCGTGCGCCGGGAGAACCACTTGAAGCCCTTGACCCACCTGGACACTTCCCTGTCAAAGGTCGCTCCAATCAGCCGCGGTTTAAGACACATCTCACGAGACGGAGCACGAGTCGATGAACCAAACAGACTGTGAAAGCAAACAGACTGGTTGCAAAACTGGAGCAGATTGGGTTGTAGGTTCTGGACAGGATTTGCCAGGATGAGTCCACTCCAAGTTCAACATTCATTTATTGAACAGTCCAACTGTCCAACTAAATACAATATGTTCCATCAAGACGTGGTAGATAGTGGGATCTTCTCTAATTAACGGGTCGTGTCGTATCAATAAAAATAACATACCCAAAATCCTTGTCCCCATCTTCGCTTCAAAAGAGACAGTGGCTCATTGGTAAGCACATCAAAAGATGTTTGTAAATGTGAATTCTAGCCACATCCCCTCAAAACAAAATTTGGAAAGTCGGTCTGTCCCAGGTGTCGCCCGCCAGGTTAGGCCAGGCAAATATTCCTTGATCGAATCTCTTCCGTCCTTGTGCCATGGGTGCCATGGCCACAGCTGCTGTGGCCGGGTGCTCAGAGTCTGTTTCAGAGCGAACCGGAAGGACGTCACTCGCCCTCCCTTTTCCTCCCCACCTTCTCCTCCCAGCCCAGCCTGGTCACGCCGAGTTGATGGTCGTGCCATCGGGATGATGACTTGCCGTCGGACATCCGTTCCGGCATCACGGGGAAGTCGAAGTGCACATGTTCGAAAAGAGAGAGAAGACATGAGAATGTTCCACTTCCAGGAGGCATCACATGGAAGTGGAACATGGAGTGCATCTCTTCCGTGTTGTCCATGTTCCCCTTCCATGCGATGCACTTCGTGTGAGTGTATCCACTTCGGACCAGTGCGCCACCTGGCCCAGTGAGTCCCTGCACCGGTCGATTCCAGGCATCAACAAGGGATCGGTGAATTGAGTCCCATATGTACACGGTAGTATGTATCGATGAAGCAAACTGATTCATATCAAGAGCACAAGAAATCTTCAAGAAGAATTTGTTTCATCCAACGGTATGCCATCCAATGGGTCTCCAATGGACTACCCTACACTACACCACTTTGGGATCTCTAGACTGTACACCCAGACAGGATGATCCAGGTACCATGAATTACACTCCCGCAACCGACCACATGGAACCCGAGAATCGACCGGTGGTGGAAGACCATGTGGTTTTGGGGTTCCATGTGGACCGTTCGTAGCAGAGAAAGTCGGTTTCAACCATTTGGAGTCCATGAAATTCTAGGAGTCCTCCCATACCGAAACCCGCGGGCCGCGGGTGTGTTGTCTGGGTTCCCAGGCCCTGCTGGTCTCCTTCACGTCGGTGGAGGGACACTCGACCCTGTGGGCGTCTTGGCGGAAGGTGAAGCGGGTGCAGATGGTGCGGGGCCGGCACCAGGAGCCTTCATGGGTGTCTAGGCCGATAGGCCCTTGGAGGTTTTTCGGGGTGTCCATAAACCACAAGAATTGGGGGTCCTGGTATGGATGATATAGACTCTTAGGCTAGAACCCAGACATGACCCCTGTTTTGAGAGAGAAAGAGATAGAAAGAGCACTGTGGGTGGTTGGTGATTCAAGATAGAGGTCGCTGAGGTTCTAGGAAAGTGGAGATGAACACCAAGAACATCAAGAACTGTGATTCTTTTCTGCCCGAACATGTGTGACTTCCAGATTTGTTGCATGGTTTCGGAAGCCCCTCACCATCTTCACTCGGCTGACTTGGTGGGCGTTCATACCCAAACACTCCATGTATGGAATGTATGCCTACATTGACCAGTGAAACCACTCCGCCCATGTAAGCGGGTACCTGGACCATCCTGTCAGGGTGTCTGTTCTTGGAGAGCAGTAGGCTGGGTAGTGCAGCCAGGACACCCAGACAGGATGGTCCAGTCAGGACCTAGACAGGATGGTCCTGGTAGGAGTTGAGGGATAGAACTCAAGTACTTTCTTTCAAATCTTTCAATGTCAAGAACTGCGCGTCTGACAAGCACACAACGTCCCGCCTGGGCACAGGTCCATGGTGAGACCGCAACACAATCCTTCGTGGCGCCGCGAGCTCAAATTGGGCGTGGTGTGCATGGCTGGTGCCAGCCGCTTGTGCAGTTTGTACTCAGGATGTAGGAAACCGGGTATGGTAGGGCAACAATTGCCCAAACACTTTGGACGAGGTGCTTCAACGTTCTTCAAGCCCCAAAGTCACAGGTGTGTGTTACCATCGGCCGAAACGATCTCACCTCACAGTGATCAAGAAACCACCCTTCCCCCCCCAAACCAGCCGCTTCATGGCTTGCAAGTCTCAACTATAAGGTCTCTGTTTGTCAGCTTGCACCCACCATCGCGTCGCTACTCGCCCTACTCGCCCTACTCGCCCGGCCGCTGTGTTCCGTCCAGGATCCCGGCGGTGTGGAATGCCTACCTCCCGAGCTTCGGCCAGCCGAAGCTCTCCGTGAAAGCGCCGTTGGACCGGTGCGGGGGCGGATGGGGGCGGCGGAAGTGCGGTGCGGTGGGTGGGTGGATGAAGGGGGAAAAAGCAACGTGTAGGACCAATCCCTAACAATCCAACTGTGGGATATTGGCCTATATTGGGGTGATTGGAAGATGTTTTGATTTTTAAGGTTTAATGCATTGTAACATCTATTCCGGTCAATGACCTTTCCATCTCTGGAGGGTCCGCGATCCGAGCCCTGTTTCGTACCAAACAGGGCCCCGGTGGCCCACTGGCCAGACCTGCGGCTCCTGTCGCACCTTCTGTGGGACTGGCGACGGAAGGAAGGAGGGTCCAGTCAGACCTGAGGTACGACTGGAGCCCGTCTGGGACTGTTTGCCTTTCTGAAAACACCGATTTCTGTCTGGTGAACTACTGACTCATTCGTTGGCCATCTACAAACTAGTGGTCAGAGGCTTCACTGGGCCGTCGGGTGTTGACAATTGTTGATGTTGAATCCATCCTCCACTACGGAAGTCACCCTTTTTGCTGATGCTGATCCTGGTAGACAAATTGCTTGAGAGTCTGCCAGGTTGTCTATCCACTTCTACTTCCGATTCGTTTTTTGAGTGCATGGGTTATGGGTTGCCATGGGTTGCCCAAATCTTCTGATCAGACCGAAGTTTTTGCTCCATCCTTTGGCCGCTGCGGTTGAGACACCGTGGGGTCTCCTTGGTGTCTCCTTCCGCTTCATTTTTCCAGGGAATCCGTCAACCTTCAACCCAGCTTCTCCGGGCGAGCATGGACGCCTGAGCGCTTGTTGGGCAGGGTTGGGTCGGGGCGAAGCATTTCTTCGGGCGACACCAGCTGGCTTTTGGGGATGACATGCGTGGCCCCCAGGGCCGTGGCCGGGCTGTTTGCTTTCTAGTTGGGGGTGGATCATGTGATGGTGGTGCAGCATGAACCATCCACTTGATGCAGTTTTGGATGGGTCCAGATGGGGTCTGGATAGGGGAACATTTTCTCGGTGTCGAGTCACATAGTCACGATTGAGTGCTTGTACCTCTTTTGCGGGTGTGGTTGGTTTGATTGCTTAGGCTCACACGAGGTGATGGGCGCGTCCTGAGTGTTTTTTGGATTGCTTGGTTGTTACCCTGGAAGCCCCTGAGCATTGGTCTATTTCGATATAACGTTTGACCGAAGCCTTAAGCAAAGCATCACCGAACTGGGCCACTTGAGCGTTCTGAGACATGCCACCTTGGGCTAGTGCTCGAAACTTCAAAACTCCACTCAGCTCTCTCCTTCTTAAGCCTTGTTTGTGTCCGACGCCGACGCCCGAATTGTTCCACATCAAGTGCAGCAACACCCAACTTGCTGTGCTTCCGTGCTCAAAAAACTTTGCCTTCTTGCTGTAGGAGTCACCTTGCCAGGAAGGTGAACATTTCCAGACATCTGGGTCATGATGGTGATAATGATCATGAGTCATGTTGATGATTAAGACCCCACGACCTGTGTGGTCAAACACCTCCTTTTGGGTGGGTTTTGAGTGATAGGCAAAAGTCAACAGAGAGAAAAGCAAATCTCCACCTTCAGAATGCAGACAGGACACCGTGCCACTATCTATTTGGGGACCACATCCGGATGAATCATATGTAATTCATATAGTCTTGGGAGCCTGAAATCAATATCCTGAAATCAATCGATCCTGAAGGGTCTTTGGATTGTGGGATTGCGCCATCTACCTAGCGCTTCCTGTCGGGGTGTCCTGGACAGGGAGACCTGTTTATGTAGTGTAGGGTTGTCCGACGGTTGTCCAGCCAGGGCACCCGGACTGGAAGCAGCTGGTACTCTGAAACCACGGTATTCTCGGTTGCCAACCTTGTCCTGATGGGAATCACGCGACTGCGGGCGCTGGACCCTCGTCGTCCAGTGAGCGACAGGGACCTCGCCGGCGGATCTCCCCAAACCCCGCAAGAACGACGCCGGTCGAACGGGACGGATGGCCCGGACGGCCTTCATAGCAGAATAGGCCTCCGAGTCTCTCTCCCCCCTACAACCCCAGTGGATAGGTCATCTATATTCATCTTCATTCGGTCATTTCTTGAGCCAATCCACCACCACCTTGGGCCTCCAAACCCTCTTCGATAGCTTGGGCATCCCTAGCCGCGTCCCACGCCACGAACTCTCCGCAGATGGTGCAACCCTTCGGTGAAAATGAGACGACGAGGAGAACTCGCATTGGCCGCATCAGTTTTCCTGGTGCTTTTGGTCTGCGACTTGCTGGAGCTTCTGAAGCGAGGTGCCGAAGAGCTTCGGCATGCGATCAGCTGCCCAATAGGAAAATACGTGGATTAGCATGGATTAGCTGCAAAAGAGCAGTGAAAGGGATCGAGATACACCCCACGAGACAACAGGTGGTGACAGGTAAGGCACCTGACAATTTTCCCGCGTGCCTTTCGGTGCAAGCAGGCTTAGAAAGCCTTAATCAGTGACGTGTGCTTGAGAACCCGTAGTTGCATGATGCGACTCTTGCTCCTCGTGCTTTTTCTTTCTTCAGCCACCTGCAGCCGGATGGGGCACCTGGAGCTGACGCTTCCTGGAAAGGGACAGAAATGCACCAGAGAGTGTCTGGGTTGGCGTTTCCAGAGATGTTGTTTAATGATATTTAATGTCATTATTTTCCATGTTCATCCCTGCAAAACGCAAGTAGTTACCTATCTAACTACAGACTACAGTACTTAACAACGTTAAAGATGTGATATATCCAATAACTGGTTGTTGTTGTTGCTACTCGCGCTGTTAGCGAGCGCTGGCAAAATTACAATTTTGGGTATTTTTTCATCATGGTATCTTGCTGGGAGGGGGTGGGTGGGGAGGGGAAGTATAGAAGATTTGTTTGTAAGCTGAACAGTTCTTGGAAGGAATCATCTCAGTAACGAGAAGCAAAAGGTATTGATTTGTTTGTGCCGTTCCTCTAGGACTCCTCTTTGGCCGGAACTTCTAACGAGCCCTTTCACCAGAACAGAAGTGTTCGACGAAACCCTTCGATGAAGCTCCAGACTTTTGTTTGGAAACCTCTCAGATGCCAGACTTCATTCTCATTGGCCCTACTCCCTCCACCAATCATGGTTACGTGGACGCCCTGGCCCCGAAAGGAAGAATATGTTTTGTCCACTTCCATGTGGCGGCCACGTCGGGTCCAGAGGCCACGTCGGGTACAGAGGCCACGTCGGGTACGCCTGCATTCCTTCTGAACTCGCCGCCTGCTTGCTCCGCACTTGGTGAACGCCTTCCTTTCCGAACGTCTTGTCTTGAGTTGCCGTTCTGGTGGGGTGTAAAGTTTTTCTTTAAGTTTGATTGGTATATCAGTACGTCGACACTTTGAGTTGAGACCATGCAGGTGACCTTGTTTTTTCATTGTCCAAGCTTCCTTGGAGACCGGTCTTGGACTAACTGGGAGACTGTTGCCTACACGCGAATAGTCTCAACAATGCAAGATGTGCCACTTTGTGAGAGACGAGATTTCCAAACGCACACACTCATGTCGCAGTTCTATTGGGGAAAGGTTCTGCGAAACGTATCTGTTGCGGAAATACACACCTTCGTGTCGTATGTCCACGGTTTTTTAAATGCTCAATGCCTTGTGAAAAAAAGATACGAAATAACATGCCCTATTTCCAACACACTGTTGAACCCCGTTCCTGACTGTTTGAAATAACATTACAATTGCACTGGACCTTTAAAAGTGCCGGTGCCATCATTGTTGTTGTTGTTGTTGTTGGTGGTGGTGGTGGTGGTTGCTGCTTTTGCAAGGGGTGGCTCAACCACTGCCCAGGTGTGGGAAGAAGGATTCGATGCAGCAACAGGGTTGCTGTGCCGAGGGCTTGGTTTGTGACAAGGATTCATGGACGTGTGAGATAGCCCTTGGGGAGCCATGCCAGCGGAAGGACAGGCCATCCCACATATCACACATGTCACACATACAAAATGCATCAACATGCAATGATTTTATGTTTCTGAAGCGCACAAATTGCAGACTCACAAGATGGTGACCACGGGCGAGGAGATCAAGAGGTTCTTCAAGAAGAACATCAAGCCGGATAAGTGCGGGGACAACTATCGCGGACGCTGGATCACCTGCGGGCATCCAGACCCTCATGGTGTGTCCCATTGCTGCGTGAAGAGCTGGGTGCTGCAGGAGAAGGGGACCTATTACAGGATGCCTGGATGTGCTATCTATTTTTTTCTGCATTGGTAGCTTCTCCTTGTGCAAAACACATTCTTTTGAAAGAGTATACTTGAATGATAAAGATATGTATATGCTCCCTGAAGCCAATCCCAGGAAGGCAAAAGGCACGGAATTTTACGAAAGCGCTGTTTCTTTTAGTCCTGTGGGATTCCACAGGGGAAATGCTCACCTTCCACTTGAGCTCAATTCCTCTCGGACATGCTGCAGTGATTTCGCCTACATCTACCCAGATGGATACGTGGCTTGCGCCGATGACACCTATGAGAACAAGAAGATCGCACAAAAATACGAACTCAAGGTCTTGACGACCTAGCTGCAGCATGGCTGATGTGCTGAAAGCGGAAAAAAGCCGCTGAGCGGACATGAAGGGGAGACCCGGTCTTGGAGACCTGATCCAATCATTTCAGCACACATTCGTTCGCTCCCTCCGTACGTGCCGAGGGGTATTTAACTTATTTTTTGTTTTTAAGTTTTTCTTGTTTTTCCTTGCTTCTCACAGCTTCTCTGCTTTTCCTGCTTTTCTGTGCTTCCGTTGCTTTTCCTTGCTTTTCATTGCTTCTTTGTGAATCCTCTTTCTTTCCTTGCTTTTGATGCTTTTTGTGCCTTCTTTCTTGCTTGGTTGGTTTTTCCCTTCTGTTGCTCCTGGTTGGCTTTTGTCCTTTCTTCTCGTCTTCCTGTAGCGTAATTGTTCCTCTCGTTTTTTCTTCTCCGAATTGCCATCCGTGGCCGGATGACACAGTTCTCGTCACAATTGCAACTGCAGAAAAAAAAGAGACTGCTAATAAAGACAACACATTTTCTTTAAGTTATATTATTTCACCGCGCGTTGCAGTGATAGAAAGCATAGACGCAAGACGAGCACAACCCCACGACAGTGGATGCTAAGGGCCACCCGGTTGTTTGCCCTCTCATATACAATGCGGATGCGAAGATCAGGACGCCGAGTTCACTAAGTGCTGCGCTGTCTACAACTTTTGTTGCAGCTTACAAAACCCTTTGTCCGTGTTTTTTAATTCGCAGAGTGCTGCGCCTGCCACCAGCGGAGAAAGCTTAACATAGATACCTTGTTGGAATCTTTCACCTGCTGTTACACATCAGACCACTGCAACCCCATAACGGCGGATGCTAAGGGCCACCAGGCTTTGGCCCTGTTTTGAGGATATGTGGATTCGGTGAAATGGCTTTGGGTCAAAACAGGATCAAAGATCCAGAGACTAGGGTATAGGTGACCGATTGTGGGAAGGTGCTGGTGGTTAGCATCTGGCCACCAGTCCCAGACACTCCATCTTGTATGGAATGTGTGCTTATACATTGACCCCTGAACATACCCCAACTGATCTGAAACAATCCCATACCAGCACCAAGGAGCTCGGGTGGTTTATAGATCTTAACATATCTTAACTGACACCTCTGACGATGTATTTTCCATCCAACAACCGCCCATTCCGTGGTGCTGGTACAGTGGTTTCAAAGGTTCGATGGGACGGACACCGAAAGAGGCCTTTTGTATGGTGGTCGATATAAAACAGCGACCTTGGGTAACTTGTGCCATCATGTGCCAGAAGCCATGGAGATACACGGAATGTTTGTTTTTTCTTTCTCGGACCGAGACGCACCGGTTGGTCTGAAGACGACTGGCTCAAACGCTCCTTGGAGTGAACAGCTTCGTCGACGACTCGCGCCACACTTCTGCCCTCTGCTCGAAGACATGGCGGCTTGGTTTGGCAGTTTTTTTTTTTTTGATGTTCCCCAGTTTCTGGAGGAATCATGTTTCCCAAAGAAAGTGTGGTCACACTAGGTGTTCTGATGGTAATAGGCACAAGACTGGGTATATAATTCCCCTTCAATTGCGGCATACGATGTTGTTTTCTCTCTTGTTTTTTGTTTTCTTCTGGCATCTAAGGCGGGCATGTATGTCGGTGCATCCAAGGTCGGTTTTGCCGGAGGAGGTGGGACAGGCTTTGCGTTTTGACCAAATGACCCAGTCCGATGCCACCAGGTCCATCGAGAAACGGGCCCTCGAACGCCCCTGTCATGTCACATGTGTTTGAGGCCGGTCCTCCACCGAATTAATAGCGCCCTTTGTTCCGTTCGTAGCTTCTTGTTACTTCCTCGTAGCTTCTGGCCTCCAAGCGTTCGACCGCGATGGCCTCCACCGAGCATCACGTCCGAACGTTCCTAGGTCCAAACATGGGGACGGGTCGTGACCCATGAGGTTCACCCAACCAGTCCACCATTGGCCGTGCAGGACCGCGTAGGACCGCGGCAGGTCAAGCGGTCGGTATTCTGGTGCCTCCCCACAGTCAATTGGGCCAGTGATTGTTTTTTTTGAATCAGCTCTAGCTGCGCATGCAGCTGCGCATGCAGCTGCGCATGCAGCTGCGCATGCCCTAACATGCAGTTTTGCTGAGATGCAGCCTGGGCCTTTGTTTTTGATGTGTTTGAGGAGACTCTTCTGTTTGGTTAGATCTACCAAACAGAATTCATCACCTATGGGTGAATCCCCTTTTCTGGAGATTCCATTTTCATCAATAATTGTCTTTTTGGAGACGCCAAAGCTGAGCTCCATTGTATGTTTGAGCTTTCCTGTTTGGCTCACGGTAATGTTTGTCTCAGATTCGCCACCTTCCTGCTCGGATCAGGTGGCTTTGGTGGGACTGCTCTTCGCTACGGCCTCAATCTCATTCATGGCTACTGCTTCGGCTACTGTGTCTATGTCCTTGCTGCTACTTGCCTAAAATAAGATTCATCAGCTCGAATGAGTTTCGCAGAATGTTCCAGGGACTTCACAGCTATATAGCTCTATTTTCGTGTGACCCTGCAGGGGACCAATTTGTGTGTGTATTGTGTATTGAAATAGGGAGACCTCCCAGTTCGACCCCGTGCAAGAAGGGGAATAGACCAACTCCCATTGATCTCTCTATTACAGAAAGCACACCCTTTTAAGTTCGATGGTCCGTTTCATTGTTTTTTAGTCTTTTGTTTTCGGCTTCATCCCCCCATCCCCAGTGTGGCATACACATCCCAACTTTGGCTGGCGCCACCAAGTGGACCCTCCGCCTCGTCGTTTGGGCTTTGTTGGGCGGCACCACGAAGGGGGTGGACCCCGAGATCAACCTCCGCAAATCATTCAACTTTTGCTGACTTCTTCCAATAGGACTCCCTGGTCCAGTCTGGCAGATCGCTCAAACTCGTTCCCAATCACCCCGGCAGGTCTCCCATCTCTTGCACTCTCGAAAAGCACGGTTGGTTTCGACTGGCGCAGCGTGCAAACGAACAGACCGAAAGGCCTTTTTACGCGCCGACGTGTTACGAAGCCGCAAAGGTGAAGCCCAGCTTCATCTTGACACGCTTGGCCATCTACGATCGCTTCCCGAGTCTGAAGCCCGCCGCCGAGTGAGTCATCAGCTCAGCGTGCTTGCGTCACCCCTTTTGTGTCCGAAGGGGTGTCAAACTTGGGCACCAGCAAGGCCAGTCATTGCGAGCGTGGCCGGTTTTTT